AAACATATAAATTACTCGAAAAGAAAGAAGTATTCGGGTTTTAATAAAGCTCCTAGTTTTTTGAAAATAAAGAAGAATCCGAATGGTAATAAGTCTTTTTTAAATTTGACATCGTTGAATATTAATTCTATTCATAAGAAAAGAGATGAAATAGGTTTATATATCAATGAGCTAAGGTTTAATAATAAAAAAGTCATTGTAGGCTTACAAGAAACGTGTTTAGATGAAAATAGTTGGCGTTTACGATACCCAGGTTTTCAGGTTGTTGAGGGGTTTTATAGGGATCATCCAGGTGAAAGGGGAGTTGCTTTGGTGTGTGACAGCGACCTGTCCATGCACCAACTTGAACAAAGCAGCGGTAATTATGTGTTTGCCAAAATTTTAATGCAGGAGGGCTTTCTTGTAATCGGGTCTATTTATATTCCTATAAAGGCACATAGGAGTCAACGCGAGTCATGTCTAAATCGTATTAAATCTGTCCTAATTAATTTTTTAGATCGTTTCCCAGACGCTCCTTTAATTATGATGGGGGATTGGAATATGACTAAAAAAGAACTTAAGGCATGGTTATCGACAGTGTTGCCGCTCGGAAGTTTGTGTAACGGGCTTGATGTATTGAATTGCGATGGTTGTGATTCTACTTTTCACAGAAGCAATTGCAAGAATTCCGCTATTGACTTTATCATTTGTAATTCCATCGCTCGAAGTTTCTTATCGTCATGTCGGGTTGATAGGGGATGTGACCTATCTGACCATTATCCAATCTCCGCGTTATTTTGTCCTTCTAATACTATAGTGAATACGGAAAAGAAAAATTCTCTTATGTATAATATGAACAGAAATAAAGTAGTAGCTAATAAAGAAAGCATTGTATGCCATAATCGCTTTGATATTTTATCTGATTTGGAAAGCGAGGATGTGAATGCAACCGCTGAAAATTTTGAATCGGCAGTTAAATTAGTTTCATCCGATCTGCATTTAATGTCGCGTAACAAGAAACCGGCCAGATTGTGCTTGTCAAAAAAAACTCGTAAAGCGATTAAAATCAAGAATTCTTTATTCAAAATGTGTCAATGTAAAGGCAGCTCGATGGCTGATCTTGATGCATACAAGAAGGCTAGAAAAGGGGTGACTAATTTAATTAAAACGGAAAAGAAGAACAAATGGTTTAATCACATTGCTAATGGCGCCGAATTTCGGAAACATGAGCCAAGAATGTTCTTCAGATGGCTTAAGAACTTGGTGGGGGTCAAATCTTATCCTAAATTAGGGCCCCTTAAGGATAAAAACGGTGTTTTACAGGTAACGCCTGAAAAGATAGCTGAAGTTTGGAGGGAACACTACAGAAATCTCTTTGAGGATTCAACCGGGCATAGTAAGAATAAGGAATATTGGTCCAAATTTCCTATTCATATTCGTTCCACCGTGGAATTATCAAATATTCCCTTTTCATGGTCTGAGATAGTTTTGGCTGTCAGATCTTTGTCGACTAACAAAGCAGCTGGTCCAGATGGTATACCAGCTGAATTTTTCAAGCTTATCAACAACGATATGGATACGGGATTGGCTCCGTGTACTAAGTTAGGAAAGTTTTTGTTTAGTATTTTTGAAAAGGTTTGGGTTTCTGGAAAAATTCCTAATTCTTGGAATTTGGCTAAAATTATTTCGATTCCGAAAAAAGGCGACCTCACAATCACTGACAACTATCGAGGCATATCACTAATTCCGGTGATTAGCAAAATCCTCTCTAAAATGTTATCCAGTCGAATTTCTTACCATCTGGAGTCAAATGGTATCATTTGTAAGGAGCAGGCCGGATTTCGTAAGAGAGAGGAGTGTTTAGGTCAAGTTATAGCTTTGGTTGAGGCGATTCAGAGAAGAAAGCATAAGGGTGAACCTACGTATTTAGCTTTTATTGATTTCAAGAAGGCTTATGATATGGTCGCTCATGAAGCGCTATTTCTTAAAATGACTGGCGTTGGTATTTCAGGCAAGACACTCGACCTAATAAAGGATTTATATAAGAATTCTTCTATTATCACATCCGAGTTTGATAATAGTCCAATCACTCTCATGAAAGGTCTGAGACAAGGGTGTCCCTTATCACCAATTCTCTTTAATATATTTATTAATGATTGCCTAATCGATAT